TAAAAGGTCCAGGTGGAGATACCTCCCAAGCGCTCCACAACACTCCACACTTATAGGGAGAGCGGCCGCGCTGCCTAACCCACTGAACTTCCTCAGTCTCATCCTCTGTCTCTTCCAGGCTGAGGACCTGAAGACCCCCACTTCCCTGCAGCAACTGCCATCTTCCTGGACATCCTTCCCACTCTGACCAGGCTTGGGGAGGAGTTCTCAGGCCTACCTGGGAATGCTTGGTGGGCAAATTCCCTCCAGGGAGCCGAGTCCTTCCACTGCCGACAGACCCCCTTTCCACAACCCCAGAAAGCATTTAGATTCCTCCTCTGATGCAGGGGGTTGGGGGCAGCCTGGGGTGTGCAGATGGCGGGATCGACAGGGGTAGGGAGGTGGAGCAGCACAGTATGTTCTTGAACTAACCATCCGTCCAGGACTATGCACTGTTGGTTTTATAATCTTCTCCCACAGGCCTGAATGAACGGATGACCTCCCAACACACAGGCACGCACTGGGTTTTACTCTCTGTGGAGGGGATGATCCTGGCTTCCTGTTCACAGCAAGCTGCCTGTACCAGTTGTGTGACTGGGAAGTCAAGTCCCTCGGTTTCCTTACCTGCAAGTGATGGGTGAGGGACATAGGACTGAACTTTGCCAGCAGCTCTCTAAGATTTACCTGCTCTAGAATTTCTAAGTTTAACAGGTCTGCTCCGAGCAAGACAAGTATCCTTTGTCCTTACCAGGATGTGGAATGGACCGCCATTGTGGGGCATGCACAGAACCCACCTCTCATCCAGCCAGTGAAGTGCCCTGGCCCAAGGCAGGGCTTCTCTTCAGAGCTGGCACCTACCGTGTAGGTCTGGGCGAGGCTCCAGCTCCAGGCCCTTAGCTGACACCCATCAGAACTTTCTGGGGGATGGGGGGAGACTTCACATACTTGCTGCTGATCATGGAGATCTCTATGAGAAGAGGTACTGGATTTGGATTTGGGAACAGCCCAGCCCTACAGCCAGCAGCTACTGAAACTAGTTCCCACTCAGGGTAGGGCTTCTTTGTCAAGCCAAAGGGGAGCAGAGACGTCCCCAGTCTGTTTTTTAGAAGGGATCCCCTCAGGGGGCACAGGGCTGATGCTGTGGCCCTCACTGAGACAGCCGTGGGCAGCCGGCTGAGCTAGTCCATCTCGCTGGGGGTTTTGCCTGCCTGGTGTGGCCACAGCCTGTCCAGCTCAGCGCCCAGTCCAGGGACGGACCGGGGAGTCCTAGGGGAGTCCCCTGGGGAGAAACGAAGCAGGCCTTCTTTCCTCCGGGGCAGACGTGAGAGCCAGAGCCCGAGCTGCTGAGCCAACAGGCGGCTGGAGCCATACGAAGCACATTAACTATTAATACTTTCCAGTTGTTTGCTCGCTGGGTTCGGCCGGCTCCCCAGGCCTCCGCAGGCTGGGGCTCTGCTTTGGCTCCCCCGACCGCCCGCCGGGTCTGGAGATGTTAGCGCCTCCCGGGCCCCGCCGGGACGGGCGAGGGGTCCACGCGCCTCCAGGGCCTGGGCGCGAGCGGGGTCCCCGGGTCCACCGGTAGCGAGTGGAGGGCGGACTGGGTAGCGGGCGCCTTTCCGCCCCCGCGAGGCCCCCCCAGCCTCTAGCGCGCG